CGGTGTGCCCCTGGCCTGCCTTAGGGGAGACTGGCAAGGATGCGATTTGGATCTGAATCAGTGGCTGTAAACACACAGCTGTGCCTTTCTGCCTCACAGGAGTTTTTCACTTGACTGCTCGGCACATGGGGGTCTGGGGAAGGCAGGAGAGGGCCAGGGTAGGGGCGAGGGAGAGCTGGTGAGAGGAGGAGGGAGCAGTCTTGCAGAGCCTAGCTGTCCCCTGTGTCAGGCGGCTGAGTCACCGTGGCATTTTTCCTCCAAGTGGGCACTCTGCTGGGAGGGCATTTCTGGCTGCTTTTGGTTGACAGGTTGAACCATCAGCTGCAACAGCTGGGGGTTCCTCCTTCCGAGGGAAGCGGCAGGGTCCAAGGCTGGGCTTCTCAAAAATGACAACCTCTGACTTTTTTTGATAGATAAAAATCTCACCTTTTCCCAGAGTTTCAGAAAGACCTCTCCCCTCCAACCCCTGCCATGGAGAATCACTTTATCTCTTTTGTCTTCTCTGTACCCCACTAGCCAAGCTGCCTGGGCTGTCTTACACTTTACAGTTGGTTTGTAGAAAATAATAGACTTTTACATTTTCATTTTCCAGCTACAAAATCATACTATATTAAATAGGCTTTTTCAAACTTCACTTGGACCCAAAATGGAGAGAGAAAGAGAGAGACCAGAGGAGACTTAACCTGCCACTGACTGTAGCCAGGATAACACGCTCTCTCGTGACCTCTTTTTGGTCATTTCTAAGAGAGGACAGAAGCAAGCTGGCCCAGAGCTCTCCAGGGAACCGGAAAGTGTGTTAGCAGGTGAGCAGCAGAGCAGCAGAATGGTGCTGAGTCCCCAAATGCTCGCAGTTCATTTCTTCCCACGCCCCACAGGACGGGGCGGTGCAACGGCACCCGCTCTGGAGCCCACCCCTCTGCCAGCTGACCGCGCTCCCACCTTCTGACACACACCCTGCCTTCTGCGGGTCGGGGTGTGTGGTGCTTACCCTGTTCTTTGTGACCTCTCCCTCCCTGCGCTCCAGGGGTCACAGTGTACGATAAGCCCCGAGGGGCAATCAGAGGGACCAGGGCTGGGGCAGGAAAGGGGCCGGTGGGAAAGGAGGGAGGTGCCTGCGGCACTTTTAGTACTGCCAGGGCTTTACCCTCAAATCCTGTGATTTTAAATAAACACCCAGCTCAATTCTATCCATGGTTTACTTCCCAGCCTCAAAGATAGGCAGCCACTTCTCCAGCAGGAAGGCAGCCCCTCTCATTCTGAGGGCTGATTAGCACAACCTGAAAATCTCAGGATCAACAGAAGCGCGGATCTCAGAACACCCCCACTGAAAGGGTCCACAGAGGTGACCTAGCCCAAGCCACCGTGCACAGGAGAGAACCAGGGCTCAGGGAGGGCTAGCGCGTGCCTGAGGTCACGCTGCTGGCAAGCTGAGGCTGGAGGCAGGCAGGACCCACTCTGCACGGGTTGCTGAGGAGTGCCACAGGGTCCCAGGGGAAGTCCTTCCTGCTCCGGAGGCAAATTTCCCTGCGTTCCCTCCCCTACACTGCTAGGGAATCTACCTCCATCTCTAGGCAGGCCCGGGTCTCATGAATGCTAGATCTCAGGGCTCTGAGATGGGAGAGGCTGGCACTGCAGTCCATGACCCAGTAGTCCCAAGGGGATCCAAGGACTGTTTGCAATCAAAACCGACTCTAGAGATTTTTAGTGATCATTCCTTGCTGGAGGCCTGAAAGGATTTTTTTTCAACTGAGGTCAAAGCTCCCTGGGGGCTCTGCTGAGTCTAGGTATTTGAAAACTCTTTTGGCCGGGAGAGCAGGCCTGCTGAGGGGGAGGGGAAACTAGC